TACCTGTTATATAAAACACAAGGTACATATTATAATTTATAATGTTATTTATAATAATTAATAATATTATGTAATTTACTTATAAACATTATAAACTTTTAACGATGCAAATTTACTATCAAAGAAAATATACTAGATAATACAAATCAATTAAAAATACCCACTGTAATATATGTTTACTCTAATTTAGAAAATATAATGAAATTTTATCTTTCCGAATTTGTATAATATTGTCGGTATTGATTAACTGAACACGATTATTGCTTATTGTTATGTTGTTTGTCACCTCGTCAAAATTGTGATCTGACTCCGGCAAATTTCACAGTTGGATATAATAATCATATACAAAATTATCATTATGCAATCTACTAATTGTGATAAAATAATTGTTGAAGGTCAAAACAGGATATGATGATAAAATGACAAAGACCATAAAATATTAGAGCGAGGTGAGGAAAACATTGCAGGACAGTAAACAATTATCGAGAAAGAAGGGAGAAGCGTACGTCAAATCATTAATTACGATGAAAAAATAAGTATCCACCCCGTCGCAAGAAATGTTGGTTTTTAAAAACCGTACCAAAAGTGTGCACTGCCGTCGTCGAACTCGATCAGTGCAAATCGTTCAGTGCATCAAAAACATACTTCGTCACCGGTACAGCATAATAATACTCGCTATGTTATACTATACACTCATCGTACCATATTATGTAATAATATTATACATCTGCAGTGGACGGTATAAAATATCATTAGTCGATTCGGTACAATACTAATATTGGTTTGAATTAGTTTACAAATAGTAAATAAACTGAAAAAAAATAATGAATTATCGAAATATAATAAAGTAGATTACAGATTTTAATTTATTTAAYAATACATGAAAATCGGAATAAGAATGTTGGTGGTAAATGGAGCCACGGGGGCGGTGACTCCATTGGGGTATAATCCATTTTGYCGGAAAACGGAGTTACCCTACACTCCGACCAAGTTAAGAAGATAATCAAACGCGCAGGTTGAATGTGCCAGCTTTTCCTATATTTCGACCCCGCTGCTCGATATGGTTAAAGATCCATTATAGTTACAGCATAGTCGTATAATGGATGACACATGGCGAGGTTCTGACCAAAAACAGCGAAAATACATTGTCACTCTCTTA